CTTGGATATGCAAATACAAAGCATCCCAAAAGCAACAGACTGTCTTGGTGCTAGTTGCATGGGATAATAATCCAAACAACTGATTTCTGGATTGTTGGGTGGATATGCATGCAGATCTGCCCCATCGGACCTGGGAGGCAGGCCTCAGTGTTCCATTCCAATGTAGATGCCTTTCTGAGTGTCAGGAGATCAGCTTTTACGTAACCTGGAGCTGTCCCATGTGAACTGCTAGGAGAACTAGGGGTTGGTGAGTTCACGCTTGGACTTCCTCAGAAACAGTGCACAAACAGAAGGGTCAAGATTTAAATCATTCCCATAAATTTTTTCTTTGTAAAAGTGAAATGTGCATAGGATATAAGAAAAGCAAACATTTTCACAGTGAGTCTTTGTCTCATTAGATAATGTAGGGATGGGTTTCTAGAAAAACAGAGTTGGTTTCAAAATGATTCCAGTTCAAGCCTTCAGTGTTACTTTAATGCTCATGCTTGCAGGAGGTTTGCCTGTTTTTAGGTGTTTGCAAATAGGGGCCAACTCATATGATGCTACTTTAATGTGTGTGAACCTTCCCAGCTGCATCTTTAAATTGTGTAAACCACCCAGCTGCTTGATCAAGCCACCATTTTCTGTGAGGTAGCCACTTATGGATCTTGGCCACAGCCTTCTGAGACCATGGAAGTTTCGGTGTCAATGCCCACAAGTTCCAGTTCACATGATACGGCAGCTTAAGCAAGTCTGCCACTGGGGACAACTTAAAAAGCTCAAGCAGTTGAAAGAAGCATCCTAGAAACGTTCCATAGGCCTCAGAGATGGCAATCAGAATGCAGATTGCGAAGAGTGAATTTTCATATTGTTCACAAGAGCGCGTTGTACAGTTGAAGCCACTGCTCTGAAGCTATACGTGAGCCAATATTAGGCACCACGGGTTGGATGGCGTCATCATTTATTTATGGCAGTGGTCCATCTTGTTCTAATTACATGCTGCAGGTTATGTCGAGTGAACATAAATGACTGTCGATTGCCAGATGAGGGGAAAATGCTGCAAGCGTGTGGCATTCCCAGAGCTTTCCTGCCGTCAAAGGAGCAAATAAGGATAAAGCCCTACAAAACAAACGCCACAGACCAAAGTATGTCTGGGAGGCATGTTTGGCAGCAGAAGGGGTGGGAAAAGATTAGCTTTACGGTCTGCCTTCTCCGTCTTCAAAGCAGTTTACAGCAATTCTGCATAAACAAACAAGGCCCCTGACACTATAAAGATTTCTTTTTTAAATTGGGTCTAAGCAGCAGGAATCTCTCCTTTACCTAAAGTTCTAATCAAACGTAACAGCAAGGCTTGTGACAGCCTCATCAATCTTGTGGGCTGCTTGGCTTGGCAACGTTCTGGAAGCCCCCCTAAGACAGCAGGCCGGTGCGAACGGTCGTGCCATGTTGACACGTCACAGCAGCTTGTGCATACGGGTTGGATTTTGCGAATTACCCCACCGGCACAGTCTGCCCATCTCCAAACCCGGCTGCCGTGGTGTCTTTGAGCGGGCATTAGCCCTCACATTACCAATGGGCTGTTGCTGGGTTGTGTGAGCATTGCTGCTGCCACCCACCAACAAGCCATGCTGCCTGGGTTCAGACAACCCGGCAAGCCTGGCCAGTGAAGTCTGCCCAGCTTGTGGCCTGCATGCTTGACGGAGGAAATCTGCCGCTGTGGCTGATTTCCCTTCCTGTGGTCAGTCGCAAGAGCCAGCCCATTAACTGTAGAACTGACACTAGCTCTATTTCAGCAATGGCAGCAGAGCCCTGGAGGGAGGGGCTTACCTTGGCAGCAGAAAACCTGCCGGCGGGACGTGGGAAAGGCTGCTGGAGAGCAGGTCGCTAGGCAGTGCGGGGACAGGTCCGGAGGAATCCTGACCCGTGGCCTGGCCTAGTACCAGGTTGTTCCCTCCTGTAGCCCCATGATCTGCAAGGTAGTTGGGACGGGATTTTGTTCATCAAATGTGAGCGTGCAGCTGTGAGTCCAGAATAAGTTGTCACAGGGAGCACTGGCCATTTCTTATGCTGCTTGCAGCGAAATTTGGGGGAAGTGGCTGCAGATGTGCATCTCTCTGACCTGTGGAAGGTCAGGGGAGAATCTGAGAAGCACGTGCATTGAACCCCCCCCCCCAGCCCCTGCACATGTTTCTCCATGGTGGCTGGCAAATGTGCCTCTGACCATGTGTAAGTCTCACTGCAAACCACCAAAGCATGACCCAGTAGCAAGTCTTTGGCAGGGATCAAGGAGATGTGGATGCAGTGCCCAGTTAGCTGCAAAACTCACTCAGTGACCTTGAGCTGCTCATTCTTTTCCTCAGTATAGCCTACCCAGCAGGGTTGTTGTGAAGAGAAATGCACAAGAAATAATCAGAGCTGTAAGCATAAGTTCACTGGAGGAAGGGATGGATGAGAATAATCTAGCAATTTGTCTGCTTCCATGTAGTAGATAAGATAATGAGCTGGGAAGTCTTTGGTTCCAATGCCCCCTCAGTTGCAAGCTCCTTGAATCTCCCAAGGTAAAACATTCACTCCTTGTTCCTCCCCTCTGTAGCCAAGGGATCAAAGCAGAGCCTGCTTCGCAGCCGGGCTGCACAGATTATTGTCGTAATATATGTGTTGTCCTTTGAGCTTTGGGGAAAGCGCTCCATATAGTTATTTAGATGATTATGCGATCTCTGCCTGCCTCTTTTGACCACCCTTGGAGGAAGGGAATACCCTCTCAAAATCACCGCCCTGCCCTGCTTGAGGCGTCTTTGCCATCAGTCCGTTTGCATTTTCGGCTTTGTTTTAGTTCTCTTCCTGAGGTTACTTTGCACTTGTTTAACCAGAGCAGGAAGCGCTAGGTATTCATTGTGTGTTAACAGAGCAATCACCATAGGAATATAAGTACGGCTTTGAATCACACAGTCTGCTAAAAGCCCTGCACGGGTATTCTCTCCACAGCCAGGTGACCCACACGGCAGAAAGGTCAGTCTGCAGCATAGGTCAAAAGAACCCTCTGTGCATCAAGGGAAGACAAACGAGCATGCATATCTTGCTTCCCAACATCTTTGTCTGTGTGCTGCAGAAATTCCTTCACGCACTGAAGTTGCGGTGGAGAAGCTTACCTTCCGCAGGGCATGAATGGAACCATTTTGGAGAGGAAGCATTGTGGTCTTTGCTTGGCCCCTTTCCCCTCTGTGTGCGTGTGTGAGAGAGAGTCAGAGAGAGAGAGAGATTACTGTGAAAGGAATCCGTAATCTTTAGTAGGGCAAAGCATGCTTCTTTCTGAATGACACATGATTACCACAAGAATCCAAGTGGGGACAGGCAACAAAACGTTGCATTGTGTCCATGCCTGTTAAAGGAAGTGCTCCTGTTCAACACTCCAGCCAGCTTTGAAAATGAGCCTTGCAGTACTGTTCAAAAAGCGATGGGGCACTCAGGGGAGGTAGGAAGAAACAAGGGTTTTGCTTTGTTTTTCTTTCTTTCTCACCCTCCTGAAATCAGCTGCGAAAGGCATTCAAGAACCACATTCAATAATCACAACATTTATTTTCTATGTAGTAATAGGAAGAACTGGGGCATAAATACTTGGCATATAAGTTTTTAACCTCCTGGCAGGCATCCTTCTGATGCTAATTTCCCCTTCAGAATACTGTAAGCTGCTCAACTGTCACGTAGACAAATGCAGTTCCCGGCCCTGTTTTTCTCCCCAATACTTTTCTCAGTGCTCCTCTAGAAGTGTACAGACTCTCACACTTCTGTGTGCCAGGGAGGTCCCTTGGTTGTGCAGAAAGTACTACGTTGCTTTTCACTGAGCCTGTTTCACTGCCAACCTGGCAAGCATGGAATGACTCAAATTCAAATCAGGGGCATGTGGTTGGTTGGTTGGTTGGTTTTTTGCAATGCTCCTAGTGATATTGCAATTTCTCTTCTGTATATCATTGTTGCTAATCCTGTGAACACAATACAGTTAACATGTGTGGTTCTTCTCTCTTTTGTTTCTGCCTGAAAATTATAATGAATAATACTATTTTCCCAAACTCCCAGCTCTACCTTCTAAGGATGATTGTCAGCTTGCTCAATTTCATTTGTTTCTCCATGCAAAATTATCATCAAGGAGTTATATAAATGTGCCACTCATGTTCTGAATATCGGAATGGCTCTGCTGAAGCAGACCAAAGGCCTGTCTAGTCTGGCATCCTGTTTCCACACCGAGTTCGAGAAGGACCTGAAGACAGCAGGGAAGCCAGGAAGGCTCTGCCGTACCAGTTCCTCATGCCAGCAATGTCTGAGCAACACTGGCTCAAAGGGAACAAGCAAGCGAGCAAAGGGGGCAGTTGAAAGGTATGCAGAGCATCGTGAGGGGCAAGAGAGGAAGAGAGAGCCTCACAGGTTGAATGCAGAGATTCAGGAAGCTAGGAGGTTCCCCGCTCTCTGAATTCAGCATTAGACGTGCTGAATCTAACTAGCATAACATGTGCCAGTAAACAGAGAACAAACAGAAGAAATCACATCTAACAATAGATTCTGAAACACACACACACACACACCTCGATCATGGCATGTTTGAGGACAGGACTTTTCGTCAGGGGACAAACAAAACCAGACAGCTATAGTGACTTTTTGGAGAAAAGTGGCTCCAGTGGGAGCCAAACCCTGCTATGGAAACCGCCACGGATGCTTACTAATGCTTTACTGAGATGCCCGCAAGCTCCTGCCCTTTGGAAAAGACCACACAAAACAATCTCGATACAGCCATATGTATAACTACCTTGGTAAATTGGAAGCATTTGCTACAGGTGGTAAGTTTGTTCTTATGGTTAATTAGGCTGGTCTTTCATGGTAGTGTCCTTTCACATGAACAGCATTTGGAGATGCTGAAATTATTTTACTCTTAGTTTGATCCTCCTTACTCCCATATGCATCTAATATATCAGTCTGAAACAGTTGGTAGCAATTCTAATTGTGTATTTCATGCCATTATTCTTTTCTAGACAATCCATGGCCATAAAGGTGCCATAACAGCTGTGGGGTTTGCTCCTGATGGACGGTATCTTGCCACTTACTCCAACACAGATAGTCACATATCCTTCTGGCAGGTGAGTCATAATCATGATGCTTCCCTTTATCATATTTGAGGCATGCTACATAGTTAGCTTTCAGTTGTTCAGCTTTATATTTGCACATAAGAATAGTCCAAACTCAGTAAATTTTCAGCAAAAAATGGGGTATTTTTTATATCCTAGTTTGTTACCATTCATGCTTCTATTCTTACTTGTTTAAAACAATTGTGTGCAGATGTTTTGGCCAACAACTCCCATCTTCCCTCACCCTTGGTTATACTAGTTATGGACCAATGGGAGTTCAAGGCCAAAGCATCTGGAAGGCTGCAAACGGAGATAAGTAGGCTCAGCGGAAGAGCGTGTGCTTCACAGAGCAGACATGCCATGTTCGGTTCTTGCCATCTCCAGCTGGGGCTGCAAAACTTCCTGGATCAAGGACTAGCAAGCCACTTCCAGTGGGCATTGGGCACCCTTCCCCAATCTGGTCTCCACCAGAGCTGCCAAATGACAAAAGCCATAATCTCCAGCCAGCATGACCATACTGGCTGGGGATTATAGGGGATGTAGTCCGATGGATCTAGAGGACACCGGGTCGGGCAAAGGTGAAGTGGACAGTACCAAGCTAAGTGGACCAGCAATCTAGCTTAACATGTGGCATCTTCTTATGTTCCTATCCATTTTCAGAACTGCCCTCCTCTCAAACCTACTGGGGTACACCTTACCACCAATGCACCACCATATTTTGACCCTTTTGGGCTGCCTTACCACCGATTTTTTGGAGAAAAGTTGGCAGTATGAGCTGCCCAAAAGGCAATGGGAGGCTTCATGCAGCCTGCCGGCCATGTCACATTCAAGGTTTGCCACCAAGAACAACACCAAACAAGATCAAAATCTCAGTTCCCATCTGGTCTTCCCTAAAACCTCTCAGAGTAAATCAAGCTGAGGGACTTAACCCTAGCATGCACCAAGAGGTTTTTCTGATAAGAAGGCTATCTTCTGTCCCATAGTAGCTTAGCAGCCCCCAATCGCATATCACACAGTGCACCTGACCATGTGGGTCTGGCATGTAGACTACATGGGGTTCTCCCCACTTTTTAAGCTAGAGATTGTGAGAAAGTACGGGAAAAGAAGAAATCCCACAGCAATGCTCATGGGTGGCCCCTTGGTTAAGTACCGGGGTGGGGGAATCCTCTTTGGGGGCGCTACCTCCTATGCCTCTGCCGCAGGAAGTGAGGCAGGCAGCTGCAGAGGTGAAGGAGCATGTCCAGAAAGGCACAGCTGGTGTCTCCATCATGGTCTTTTCAGTGCCAGGTAAGGACCGTTCTCTTTCTTCCAAATGGCTCCAGACCTGGCCATGTGAAGCTCCTCCTATCTTACTATGAAACCGTCTAGTCAAGGTTTACAGCCGAGAGCCTCTTGTGTACATTTCTATACTGAGGACCATTCACGACACTTAAAACCCTAAAATACAACACAATTAAATACGAACAGTAAAATGCAATATAAATGTTTAAAACAACAGCTTGAAATAAACATAAAAATAGCAGTGCAAACATATAAAATATGCAAAGAGGCCTCTGTTTAAATGCAATCTTCTACATTCTGTGATTAGTTTAATGTTTTTCATGTTCTTGTTCCTTACCATTTTTATTCTTGTAAATTGGCCTGCATGACCTGAATGGCTTTTCAGCAAATAAAGTGGTGTGTGAATGTCAAAAGCAAACAATGAGCACACTGGGCAGGTTGCTGTGTCTGCAGCAGCAGCAGCAGTGTGGTTGGTGGGCGCAGTCCAGCCGAGTGCGCTTGCCGTGCGGGTTCGTCACCCTTTCCATAACGAGGCTGGTGCAGCAGCCACACAGACGTCTGCAGTGCCCGACTTCCATTTCCTTTGCTTCCAAAGAGGTAGAGCCAAGAAAATGCATGTGAGCAGCTTCCTGGACAGAGGCAGCTCAAGGCAGCGCGGCCTAGTGCACCACTCCTTGCTGGGGGCTTATCTAAAGTCTTTGGGAAACTTTCAGCCAAACACAGGGGACCGTTCTGTGAGTTTTGCGAGGAAGGGTCCATCTGCCCCAACTAGAGCCACCTATGTATTTATATCCCACCTGTTTTTCTTGCAAGGAACCCAACCAAGGCTGCTTCTGTAATCCAAAGATCACTCTATGAAAGAAGCAGGTGACTTGGTGCCCAGAGTACCCCAGAGTTTACCCTACTAGAGAAGCCAGTTGCCCAATGGCCCTTGGATTAAGCTTCACCCACGACATGGAAGTCTGTACATTTCAAGTGGGAATATGCCACTGGGCTCACCCACCATTTCATGTACTGCTGAGGTAGCCCAGAGCAAAGTCAGCAATGGAGAACCCCAGCGGAGAACACCCAGCGTACTGTCCCATGTAACGACTGCCATTTAATGGGGTGTGCTCAGCTTGCATATCTGGTTTTTCTGAGGGGTGTCACCAGAGGCCTTCACACAGAAGGCCACTGATCCATTCCTGGCGTCTCCTGAATCTTGTCTGAAGCTGTGAAACGCCACTGCCAATCCGTATTGACGACACTAAGTTAGATGGACCAGTTAGATGCACCTCCATCATGGAGGAATGAACTGGTGAGTGTTTAAAACACACCGTGAGGACACAAATGGCTCCTGTCAGACTGTGCCTTTTGTCCTGAACCGCCACCTGGGTAGGCAGCTGTCTGTGTGGAAGAGAAAGCTCCGACAGCAGAATTATCGCTTCCTCAGATTTAGTGTTCCTGTAACTATCAGCTAATAGTATATATTTTTAATCTAGCGTGGCTTTCTGCATGTCATTCAACGATAACTGTTCATGTCATTAAGCGTATTGAAATGTTATCCATCTTCATACAGCATGTGATTTCTGAAGCAGCAAATAGCAACTGTAAAAACGCTCTTTCATCGCTTGCATATATTTAGTTGAGTTACATGGGAAGATCTAGAAAGCGATCAGATGTATTGATTGAAATGTTTTACATGCTCATCTGAGATCGCGGGGGGTGGCAGAGAAAGCGCTCCTTCGCAAGCGCACCTTTCGACATAAAGATGGCTGAGGCTGAATCTGCCGCATTTCGAAAGCAAATCCTTGTTTTTAATGGCATCTTTAACATAAAGTGTTAAAATTAGCCAGTGTGTTGCATTTAAAACTGTAACCTCGTGCACTGGTGATCCTCCCTCCCTCCCCTCCCTCCCTGCCCGCCCAGTGGTCTATTCAGCACTACTATTAATGCAGGAAAATCAGTAACATTAGTCATCTTAAAAGGGTTATTACTCAAGATGATTTAAATTGTGAAAATGTCAGTGGGCCTTGCATGCTCCCTGCTACAGATGCCATGATTTACACTCTCTGACACCGTTCTGCTGCTGAGAAGGACCAGGGAAGAAGTAATGGCTTCTCTGTTGCACTGATCAGAATTCGGAATGTGAGATCAGCAGTAGCACGTCTTAAAAATGGCCTGGGACATGCCAAGGCGTCCATGCGTCAAAGTCTCGGGCATGTGGCTGTGGCCTCCATCCCACCCGTCCCATGCAGACTCCGAGATCTTCGCAAATTGCAGATGCATTCAAACTAACCTGGAATGGGTGCGTTATTTCCTTGGTTTAAAGCTCGTCACACACGTAGCAAAGTGATACAAATTGGCTAGTTATCTCATGAATTGGAAGCTCTACTGCTGAACAGTTGGTTCCCTTGATATTTTCCTTAGAGAACCAATAGAGATATAGAAAGCTGCCAGCTGCCGTTGCTTTCTTTTTCCTGCCCCACCTTTCAAAATATATACTGTCAAGAACACACCCACTCCATTATTCAGGAAGCTGCAGTAACCAGGGAGGTCTGTTTCCACTGCCAGATGGTGCGGTTGCGGCAATTTAAAATGGACACATTCCCATGGATCGCCAAGACGATCTGAGCTCAGTCCATGCATCAGTCATTGTTCTGATGTATCACTTAATCCCGCAACTGCACATTGTAAAAGGCGCAGGATTTGAATCAGCGTTCTCCATGGCAAACAGGGGAGGGTTGGATTTTTCCACCAAAGTGCCACTGTCCCAGTTCACCGGTTCAGTGAAGGCTTGGGAGATCCCGTGAGCCATGGCCACAGGAACTTCACTGTCCGCTTAGGTGGAGCAAAAGGCATTGCTTAGGCAAAGGATGGGGCTGCCTTGCTGAGATGGGGATTCTAAAGAGTAGCAGCAAAAATACCTAAAAGTGCCACAATGTTTTTCAATGGCTGGGAGCCTTTCAAATATATTTTCTCAGCAGTTCTTCCAACAACCCTGTAAGGTAGGCCAGTATGATTTTCCCCATAGCGACAGGTAATGATGAAGGCCAAAAGGAGGAGAATATTGGCTTTCCTAAGGCCATCTGATGAGTTCCTGGGACAGCTGACATTGGGACTGGAGCCTCCCTTACCGTTTGCACACTGTCGCCCCCAGACATTCAGATCACACATTTCTCAACATAAAATAAAGCCTTTTACCCCTCACTTAACCAGTCTGGGTCTTCTTTGCCTCAAGCCTACTTCAAAATATCCTTTGTTTTTTCCAGAACTCAGCTCCCCGGTATTATTTTCCCCTATAAATCCCAAGTCCTGTCTACCGGAAAGCACAATCCTTCTCCCCATAGACAAAGGATGTCTGTGGCCAAGCAACACAATAATGATCTCTGCTCAGCCTTATTATCTAGTGGCCAGCCTTGGTCTGCAGCAATTCCTTATGGCTTTCCACTTGTCCTAAAAGGGGCAATATGGGAGCCAGAAGTGCCCCCCCCCCCAGTGGACTGCCTTTGGTAGACCTGATCTCCTCAATTCTCAGGGAGGTCCGTAGTCCAAACTCTGCCGCCCCAAGTTGCTGCTGTTGCTGTACTGACAAGAGGCTGGCAACTGCAGTCGGATAAATGCACAGGGCTATGGTCCAGCAGAAAAGCCAAGCCACAATGTTTGTTTAGTCACAAAGTCGTGTCCGACCCATCGCGACCCCATGGACAACATTCCTCCAGGCTCTCCTGTCCTCCACCGTCCCCGGAGTCCACTCAAGCTCACGCCCACTGCCCCAGTGACTCCACAGAGCCACCGCATCCTCTGCCGCCCCCTTCTCTTTTTGCCGTCAATCGTTCCCAGCATCAGGGTCTTCTCTAGTGAGTCCTTCCTTCTCATGAGGTGGACAAAACTTCCGCATTTCTGCCCTAAGAAATGAAGGATGGATCTTCCACTGGAAGAAGCACCATTTAAAATACTGAGCACGGCATTTTGCAATGTGCATAAAATGGGACTCTCACTATAAACTAGGGGTTGCACATATCCCTGGAGTTGGAGGGAATTTCAGTCCTTTGATTTCAGTTTCACAGGGCAAGCTGCAAAGTTGTCACTGTTCTATTTTGATCGGCAAATTTGCCAACTCCACAGAAGAAATGAAATTAACATAAGCTGGACGCAATCTGTGCTGTTGTTGTTTGTCCTACTTACATAAGGTTGAAAAAAAGGGGGGAAAATAAGGTCCCTCCTCATTTTCAAGCATGAATGAGAAGGACGTTTTAAAAATAGCTGCAGAAAAGCCCTAAGATAATGTACCATCTTGGGAAGCTATGAATGAATAGTCACTGTGGACCTCTCTCAAACTGCAAGCTGTTAAACGTGAAGGATGAGGTGTGTTTTTTGCAGTGTTTATAATGCAGCTTTGTCAGGAACATTTGCAAAGTGGTTCCTGACTCCTGCTAGTTAAAAGAGTATTTGCTGGGGTCAAGCTGCAGTTCCTCCAACGCGCTGGCCTGGGGGATCTTCCAAGGAGCACGGCTTAGATTGCAAGCCCCGCCTTCTGGAGGAAATCCCTTTGGCGGGCATCCACTCACTGCTGTCCAAACTGAGATTAGGGACCATGTTGAAAATCCCTCTGCCGGGGCACACCAGCAGCTGGAACCATCACACGTCTCTCTGGAGACGGCAGTGGGACAATAAGAGGCAGCGCCATGGGGACCCCTGTGCACGTGCAGATCCCAGCATGCCCCTTCCATGCTGCAGATGCCAGGCTACGGCCAGTGGGAGCAGCAGGTGCTGGGACTTGCCCCCTTCGGGGGAAGTGCTTGCTCTGCCCACGTACGGGTGGGTCTCGTTCTGCCTCCTCTGCTTCCCCATTGGAGGACAGAGGCAGAGCAGCTGAGTGCCTTTTGCACCTCCACGGGGGACGCAGAGGAGACCTGGGACCTCCACGTTTCCCCGCCTCCTTCCCCCATTGCAGGAAGGGGGCAGGGCATGCAAAGCATAGGGAGACCCGAACTGGCCTCCTTGGGAAAACCCATGGGCCATGCAGCCCCTGGAGGACAGGGAAGGAGGCCGTTGAGCCCCCGATCACACGGTCACGAAAGACGAGTGCACCGGAGCCTCCACTGAGGGTCGCCCACAGGGGGAAGCCACGGGCGGTCTTGTTAAAGGGGTTCTCCAAGGGTTTGAGGGGAGGGCCTCAGTCTGTCCCACCAAGTTAGTTCTTCATAAGCGGTTCTTCTTCGGATTTTGGAACTGACTGACTGTTCCTCTCTTCCTTCCTCACGGCAGATGAACACCTCACTTTTGGGAAGTATTGGCATGCTGAATTCTGCACCGCAGCTTCGCTGTATTAAAACATACCAGGTACCCCCGGTGCAGCCCGCTTCTCCAGGCTCCCACAATGCCCTCAGACTGGCCCGGCTCATCTGGACTTCCAACCGCAATGTTATTCTTATGGCACACGATGGCAAAGAGCATCGGTTTATGGTGTAGAGTCCGTGCGTGCGTGCGTTTTGCTCTAAATACAATTTTGTTTGAAATCCCCTGTAATTCTATCTCCCTTTTTGCAATGGTAACACCGCGGAGGCCATACCAGAGTCCACAAAAGTTTTCCAGCAGCATCGGCCAGATGGCATTTAACTCGGCAGCCGAGATCAGCTTAAGCTACTGTCGACTGAAGGAGACACACACCAGCTCAGCATCCTTGGCAGAAGTTCTAGCATGCAGGGCACTTCCCTTTTCAGTTGGTGGGGTGGGGTGGGGTGGGGGGAAGACCTTGCAAATGCAGCTCTGTGATGGGCTGTCGCTGCAGTTCTGGAAGAAACGGATTCTGCAGCTGCTGTTTCAGATCACGCCACAACGTTTATACTGGGCTGAATTGAATCACTTTGAGGACAGGGTTTAAATTAGAAACTGTTTTTATTTAAAGTATTTCAAAGCATCATGTTTACAGAAAGCTGATACGTTTACACGAATATTCTTCCAGCGGCTATTGGAGGACGTCTGGGTTAGGAATTTTAGGCCATGCTCCAAACCTTGGCAGGGAAGCGGGCGGGCGGGCGGGCGGCTGCAGATGCCGTTCTCCATGTGCAGTCCCTTGGCCTTTGCTGAGTTGCAGGAAGGAATTAGATGGTCCCGGTGTGCCTGGGAGCTCCCCTGTGCCCACTAGAATGCTGGTTCACAGGATTAAAGGTTTATTGTACCTGTCAAGCTTGGCACTTCTGGAGAAAATATAGGAGAAAGAGGATTCCCTACTTCCTTCAAACCATCATGCTTCCTCATCTACATTTTTGATTGATTTAGAAATGATGCTGTGCTCAAAGAGTGAAAGGACAGCGCTGGTTTTCTTCTGTCAGAGGCTAACTTTGTTTTTCCTTTTATGAAAATGTTCAAGGGTTGGAGAGGAACAATACGAATATCTCTCTTTTTTTTTTTCCTTTGCTGCTAATGTAGATACTTGTTTTCATAAATGCTCCCACGCACAGGTTTTTCTTGAGCTGAGCCTGGCAAGGAAGTGAGGGCCTCTCACATCGACACCGCTTGATTTTATTATGGCATAAACTGATCAGGATTGGCGCATTTGCAATGTTTGCAACATTTTCATTAAAGGACAGAGATTTAAGAGCTGGAAGCATCTGATGAAACACATCACAGGTCATTATCGCAGGAAGTATTAAAAATGTTAATCTGTGATTCAGTTTCAATATTGTTTAGCATTTTCTGTAACAGGACCCATCTGTGCTGTAAACAGTTGTTCACATATC